AGTAGACTAGTATGTTTTCGACTAGAAATAGCTTTACTTTGCCTCAAGAGCCATGTGGATGGCGACCGTAAGCACCATAAAGGGCGCATTCGAGCCGACCCGGGGGAGAATCCCGCGGAGGAAGCCGCGCGCGCCTTCTCGTGCATGAATCTGGCGCGCAGCGTCCCAGAACCCTTTGTACTGAAGAGCGAGAGGCTGCTTCGCCATCGGCACCGTCGAGAGCGTTTGCGTCTGGAGCCGCGTGCGAATGACGTCGAGCGGGGTCGTGAGCGCACTCGCCTGCACCCGAAACAACACTATTAGTGCCAAAGCCGTCGGCAACGGTGGGACGTACGGCGATGCTGGTGCAGGCCACGATCGCAAACACCTTGTCCTCTTCCTCCAGAAAGCTGGGCATGTAGTCGGCAACCGCCAGCGCCGTGGCCCCGCCGATCACGCTACATACGATGAGTTCTCACGGGTAGTCCCAAGTGCAAGCTCATGTAGTACGTGTAGGAGGACGTCAAGGCCAGCCCCGTCGGGAGGCTGCGAAAGAAGCCTCGGAGTCCTTCGTGCCGATACACCTATCATACAGCATGTGGGATGCACGACGCAGTGACAACTCATACCGAGCGCGCGCAGTCGACGGGGCCGGCGTAGTGTCCGAGCTGCAGGCGCTGCTTGACGACCTACAGATATCTTGAGTGACGTCAAAAGAAGAGCTGGACGTACCTCGGTCGGCGCCATCACCACTTCGTTCGCGAGGCAGCCCAAGACCATGACAGCAGTCGTAAATTGCATGTTTTCCACGCTAGGAACGGCGCCGTTCTCGGGCGTCGCCGTTTGCTTTTGGAGGTGCTCGGACCCGACTGCGATCGCGGCGCTCGAGACCAGTCCTGTGAGGGCCGGGCTCAGCCCGCGCAAGAGGCCTGGCGTCGTAACCAAGCGCAGAAATGTCTTGGGCGCAGCGACACGGTGGCTCTGCTGGTGGGTCTAGTACGTGTGAGATGCGATGCGCATCGTGGAAGCTATGGACCTTGAGCATGTCGAGCGGGAAGAGGGCCGTCGCCAAGGTGCACGAGACAGCGGTTGCCGTGGCGAAGCGCGCCAGCTCGTCCTTGGTTTGCTGCGTCATTTGGACGAGAAGAGAGGTCGACGTTGAGTCCGTCATTTTCGTTGCGCAATGATATGTGTCGGCGCCGCCATCTCGAAGTGAAGCGTGCACTTTCGCCATACTTCGACTAACCGAAGAACCGAAGCAAAATGGACCAATCTGAATCCGCTTCTCTGGCATGTCGCACCGATCGGCACACATTGCACTTTGACGCAGATCTTCCCGAGAGCATCCAACATTCTTCTTCAATCGACAATAACGTGGTCCTTCTTGTTGATGGAGCACGCAAATGTAGACAACTACACAGTGGAACTCAATATTACACATCAACTATCCACGTACGACGAGACTGGGCGAGGACCCGTGGGGCACGGGCAAAATTCTCATTTTCGTCGATTGCGAGCTTCGATGGAGCTAGGTGCAAGCAATAACAAGCCACCACCACCTACCTCTTCGGCGCGAGGTCATCTTTGAGTTGCTACTACTCCAAGGCGACGCAATCGTACAACCAACGGCGGTGCCACGGCGTTCACTCGAACGCAGCTCAGATGGCACAATCTGCAGCTCATTGATCAAGGTGAGACCCTACC